GTAGCTTGTTGTTTCCTCTCAGTGCCATATTACTTTACTGTATCATATTAGCAACACTAGTGCATCTTCTTTATATTTCACTAGCGGGATAAACTCGCGTTGCCTGGGTACTTATTTATCCTAATTCTGTATTAGGTTGGTGCCCCTTGTGGAGTACTGTGAAGCCATGGCAACTCCACTGTGCTGTACAGTAGATGCCATCTTAGGGCACAACAGGCTGTATCCTAACACTATCATACTAATGCACACTATCACTGTCAAAAGTACTGTGATTTGACAAGATAGATATAATTCATTCCTTTTTGTTTTAGCAGCCAAGGCGTTCCAGAGCTGGAACACACAGACACACACACACAGACACACACACACACACATACTGAGGGGTGTTAGGAGTGCCTTACCCCCACAGTATTTGTTTCCAGAGAGTAAGTCATCTGTGTACCAAGTTTGGTTGAAATTGCTCGAGGCATTCCAGAGTTATGCAGGAACATACACACACACACAGCCATTTATATATAGATAGATTAGTTTATCCTAGTCTGATGAACCCAAACTAATCCCTCAAATAGTGCAGGAAATCTTCTAGAGCAGAAATCCTTAACGAGTCCTTCCGCCTTCTGCTGTTTTCTCTTTTTGGGGAAAAACAGAATTCCTCAGAGGATTCTGGCCCAATTATAAATCTTTTCATTCCCGTTGGCTGGGAAAGCCTCTTAAAAATAGTGAAGTGTTTTCTTTCTGCGAAAGCAACTTCTGCTTCTTTAGCACTTTCACAACATAAGCAGTTGCTGACCCACATCCATTCACTTTGAACAGCTTGGTCCTTGAACCCCAGGGCAATCTGGAGGAGCCAAGCTAGAAGCCATTTAGATTATTACTACTCTTGGCCATTGAAACTTTGAAATCCCAGCTTGAAGAAAAACTTTTGCTGGCTAGAAAACTGTAAACAGAAGGCTTCTTCCAGGAGTTATATTATCGTGGTCTGAGCCGGTTAAAGAAATATCCCTTCCTTTCTTCCTCAAACTATACCTGGCCGAAAAAGAGGATTCTCAAAGGTGTTGGTCTCCTTGGGAAGGAAAGTATCCAGGTCTGTATATTTATATAGGTAAAACTGTATTACGACAATGTAAGATGAATGTACTGTTGTATCTGTTGTCGTTAATTTTGATTTTTTTAAAAAATTGATTATGTGCCATCAAGTTGGGGTCACCTCTTGGTGACCACATAGGTAGATGTCCTCCATGATGATCTGTCCCTAGCCTGGTCTTCCAGGTCTTCTAGCTGTGCACTCACAGCCACAATAACCGAGTCCATTTCACCTTGCTGTGCAATGGAAGATGTCCAACTAATTTTCATTAAACCTAAATGCTGATCTGATATCTTAGTAAACTGTTCAAGGTGTGTCAGTAAAGACCAAATTAATTTGCCATAAAAGCTTTTGAATCTGGTTGTTGTTGCCTTGTTAAACTTTGAAAAAGAAAATAATTTAATAACAGCCCCCCCCCCTATTTTTACACATTGCTGCTATATGACTTCAAATGCACAACTCTCTAATTTCCTTGGAAGTAGGAATGAAGAACTTTCTTAGCTTGTGGATTCTGCTGTACAGAAATGTGTACATATACCATTTATTGCCCTGAGAATAAATTATCTAACTCTTGAATCCATTCATCTTTAAGCCATTTAACTTTTTATCTACATACACGTACAAGGCAGCAGCAAAGAGAAGGCATGCAAACTTCATACACACCCTAAACTATAGCTATGTTCCCATCAATCAATCTTGTTGTTCTGAATTAATTAATGTCACTAAGCTAAGAAACTTCTTCAGCTATAGTTTTATTCAGGGATAACCATTTTTTTCTGGTGATTTGCCTTCTAGTTTGTTTTATACAGTAACAGGCAAAGCAATGAAAAAAACCCTCTGTGTGCTGATTGTTTAAGTTATTGAAAATATATGACTTACAACCATGGGGAAAAAAGTAGATGTCTATGCTTGTGTGTATTCATTTAGAAAGATGATATAGGGAAGGAATATAACTCAGTAGTGGGACCTACCTATTCCCAGGTAGTAAATATTGAAAAAGATTATTGAGAAATAGATGGATAAGTGAGTTGATATTGTATATAATGAGATCTGTTTTTTGAAAATGCATGGCTAACAATCCAGTTACATTCCTGCATTATGTCAGTATATGGAGCAATCTCCCATGGTCTTATTTATACAGTTAGTCCTTGACTTACAACAGTTCATTTAGTGACCATTCAAAGTTACAATGGCACTGAAAAGTGACTTATGATCATTTTTCATACTTACGACCATTGCAGCATTTCCATGGTCATGTGATCAAAATTCAGATGCTTTGCAATGGGTTTGTATCACTGCAATGTCCTGGGGGTCATGTGATCAGCTTTTGGCAATTTCTGACAATGGGGAAGCCAGATTCACTTAACAACTGTATAACTAAGTTAGTGTTCTGACTAGGCTTCCTGAGAAAGCATAAATCACAAACTTAGTCCCAAAACCCCTCTTTCATTTAGACAGCTGTGAATTATGGTCATTCACAGACATCCTGTGAAGATTCCGACAGATGTCTGCTCCAGCTGACACAGCCTTTCAGGGTAATGTGGAAACTTTATCTCCCTTGAAATGCTGCCAGAGGCCTAATTGCCAATTAGTTTTGCAAGGCCAAATGTAGCACAGAGTCAAACAGGACTTCTCAGAGCTCAGAGGACTATTGGTATTTATATTTAATTGGTTTTTTTATTGTTTTAGATTTGTTTTTCAATCTTTGTTTAATGCATATTCACCCAGAGTCTAGCCTGTGAGATCAGTGGCTATATGAATTTGATAAATAAAATATCAAGATGATTGGAAATCTATTGCAAGCATCCACAAAGGAAGGCAAACAAACAAAAACAAAAAAAAAAACAAAATCCCAGAGGCGAATGGCTGATGCATATACTGCCATGTTTAAAAAAGCCTATGCTATGATAGAGTTTTGCCTTCAGGGTAAGCTTCAGAGGTTGTATTCTGTTGGCCTGAACTGGTAGCGGAAATCACAGGTGGGCCTGCCCACCCACCCACCTTGGTTCTATGCTATCCTGTTTAGGCACCTTTTTTTAGCCAAAGCGCATGTGCGGAAGGCTGAGCGCATGCACGGATGGGGTGCGTGCAAAGTGAAGTGTGCATGCGCTCACACCTGCAAACTGGTAGGGAAGATAAACGAATACCACCCCTGGTCAGCTCCATAAATATTGGAGCAACTTAATCAGTGGTGGGTTTCAAAAATTGTTCGAGCCTACTCTGTGGGTGTGGCCTCCTTTGTGGGAGTGGCTTGCCATCCATGTGACCAGATGGGAGTGGCTTGCCGGCCATGTGACCAGATATGAAGATGCCGACGACAGTTGAAGGAACCTCCTTAAATTACCTCACACACAGCACTGGCATGCATAAGAATATGATGTAAACTTGT